ATTCGCAACGATTCCGCATAATAAATATTCAATTGATCTATAATGTATTATATAATAATTTTGATTGAAATATTATTACCCTACACCGTGTAAAAACACTCGCTCATGTTTAGTTCTCAACAAAAGTACATATTCAGTATGGAACATAATATTAATCATATGTTTACATACATACGTGTATGTATGTAAGTTCCATGTTATATACATATATGTACATTATATCTGTATGTATAAATAACATAAAATAAATATATGTATAAATGTCTTAAAAATTGCTTGCAGCCCACTCAGGCTATTTAAAATTCAACTAACGGCATTTSAAAGCTGTCGTGAATATGTAATGGCATGAGTGTCGTTTGACTAATTTAATCTCTTTTCTACAAACTACAATGTGTTTAATAGCATTGACCCTTTAATCTAAATTTGTAAAAATATGCATTTGTTTTAATTCGTTAAATGTTAACCCGTTTAGCGTCTTCGACATTTTTTGACATGTGTGTGCAGCAGATGGGTATTTTCTGAACTTGGAATCCAATAGGGATTATTAGTGTTAAGGACGCTTCTTTAATATTTTGTTTTTATATGAAAACATTTTTTTATGTTTTTATGTGAAATTACTAGATTTTTGTTGTATAACAATTTGTCCATTGAATTGGAAATTTATAGCTTATTAAYTATTTATTTATTATYACCGTAATTCTAATTTTTTGAAATTGAGACGACATGTTTAATACGCATATAAAGGATGATATCCACTTGTAAATTAAAAAAAATCCAAATTTTTGGCGTATATAACGAATGTACATGTTTTTGAAAATATTCTTCCAAAATTTCAGGTTGATCAGACAAATATGTCGTTTCGAAGATGTGAGTGTTTTTTGTAAGAGTTTCTAAGTTAGTTTAAACGGCACCCAAACTTGAAACACATCCTTCTCGAAACGTTGTTTTCAGATTCGATTATGAAAATTTCACAAAAAACACCTTGTGACGGAGGTCCTCCTGGAAATCGGTACGGTACCAAAAGAAGCCAAAATAT